AATTAATATACCCTTGTGCACAAGTGCGCTCGGGTATAAAAAAATTTTGAACTTCAAACAGCATTTACAGAAAAAGTGTGAAAGGTATACAAAAATCAATCATGTTTTTGAATTCATCGTCCTCAAGTTCACTAGGAAACAATCATTTAGATCCGTCCATAATTGTATTTTTGCCCATAATTTATATGGAGCCGCAGCACTGTGTGACGTACGGATTTTTTTTAACAGGAATCAAAAAAATGTTCGAAAAAAAAAAATTAAGTGCAATGTAGAATAATAATATGGGCACCAAATGAAAGAGAAAATTCTGTAGAATTTGAAATAGTTAATTTTATTGGTTCAAAAGAACGAGTAAATATTAAAAATATTCTTTTAATTATTTTTTGTCTTTTTAAGCTAATAAAGTTGGAAGGGTGAAATTCGTGGAGGTGCTCGAGTGTACATTAGCCCTTAACAAACAATTTTTTAAAAATTGGAAAAGGACACAGATCTGTTCGTTCTTATGCGCCAAAAAATTTAAATTTTTTTATGATACGAATATTGTCATTCTACATTGCACTGCGTTTTATAAATAATTTTTTGAATTATTAATATCTTTAAAATTTCAAAGTCAGAGAGAAAAACTAAAAACGTAGTTTCACCGTTTTTGGTCGCTATTTTCGCAAATTTATTAAATTCTTTGTGTGTGTAATAGCGTTGACTGTCACATGGTTTTACAGTTATGAGAATATTATCACAAACTATCAATATTTAAAATTGCTGCTTCTAAGTAAGTATAAAATATTAATGAGATTTTTGGGGCTGTTACAATTTAATCAACACTTAAATGTCATTATTGAATATAGATGTTTTTAATCTCGTTTCTTATAGTTATCGGATTGATGCGCGACCCACCGGTTGCAAACCGATGATTTAAACAGTTATTAAAATAATAAACCGTTTTGTTTAGCGAATTGTTTTATTTCACATAAAACACAGAGTGACAGTTTGCAACTATTTAGCCTTACTTACCAAAAAATTGCTTTGCTAATTGTAATTTTATTGTTCGAACAAATGGCAACCCTCCTATATAAATGTATAATTTGAATGTATCTTTTTAAACATGTGGCAACCCTCTTCGAAAATTTCAAATGATCAAACTAAAGACTTCTTAACATTCTTTCGTTTGACTATGGTATTTTTATATTTCGTATACTTTTTTTATTAGTTAATTGAGTTAGACCTTTCAAACAGGTGGCAGCCCTCTTCAAAAGTATTTTCAAGCTTAATCCTTGCTAGCTCTCCTTCGCCTGACATTGCGATACATATTTCAATTAACCGATGAATTAATGGAATTTGATTTTTTTTTTTAAATATGGTAACCCCGCTAAGTACAGTTCAGAAATACAAGTTTTTCCAACGCCCTACGATTGATACCCATATTTTAGTAATTCATTAAACTTATTGAATAATTTTAAGTTAACTTTTTAAACTGGTGGCAACCCTTTTTCAACACCTCAAAAATATTTTTAGCATTCAAACTAAATATTTCTTAACACTCCTTCGTTTGACATCTATATTTTGATGTTTCATACAACTTATGTATAAGTAAACCTAGTTCAAGTAAGTGGCAAGCCTATTAAAAAATGTTTTCAAGCTACTACTTTCTGAAACTCCTTTCGTTTGGTACCCATAAGGTGATACATATTTTTCTGATTATTAAATATTTGGAATTTAATTGTTCAACAGGTGGCAACTATTTTCCAAAAAATAAAACCTGTTTGTACATCTACAGGTCAAGCACATTGATTTGACACCCGAGTTTTGAAAAGCGAGTGCAGGTCTTTTATCCGGCACAAAAATGGTTTCGCGTATTATATATATATAGATTAACTACTATTTAAAACTTACATACATATCTATAAATTTAGAAAACAAATTCATCCTTCAATTCAAGTTGCATAATATGTTTTTTTTTCAATTCTATATCATTTCTACTATTTCAGGTGACGAAAATTCTCATGTGCACGCCATTCTTACCAGCGATAACCTGCTCGATGGCACCATTGAAACGGCCGATGAGCACTATTATGTAGAACCTGCGCAACGCTATTCCCGCGAATTGCCGGCAACGGGTGTGCACAGCGTCATTTACAAAGTAAGCGATGTGCAAATGCGCAAGACTGCTGCGGCAGAACATTGTGCCAGCGAACGATTGCGCCGTGATATGCTGCTAAGTGATTTGAAGCGACGGAAAGCGGTCACGGCCAAAGCGGAAGTGCCAAAATTGCTGGAGCGGCACAAACGTTGGCTGCCGGATGAGGTAATTACAAACACAAAAGCCGAACCAATTATGCGAATGCATGCCATTGCGCGCCGCCCATTGTTGATGGAAAGTCCATTTGGCACGCAACTTGTGCCATTGGCATTCATCGATTGACCATTCCGACTTTTATGCTTTCCACTTGTATCTATTTTTACAG